GCTATTCCTTTTTAAACATCCGACGTACGACCGACGTCTAATTATATTTGGATTACCGGCTGTACAAAGATCAACTCTCAATAGACATTTGCTGCTCCCCTCCTGGCACGGCAAAATAATCCAGATTATAGCCCGCTACAATAAGCTGATTACCATCTTCGACCAGAGAGGGGAAGAGGAACATACGGTTTTTAATAAACAAACAATATATTCGCAGGTATATAACTACAAGGGGGCATACAAGCCTCCAAACGGTCAGCCGTCAACAGATTCAAAAATTAATTATTGCCATTTATTGGTTTTACATACCCAACAAAATTTCAATACTTTTTCCTTAGGAAATCACACGGGATCAAATTCAACCAAATATTGGAGAATGATAGATAATAAATTAATAGTTATGGAAAAAAGTCATAAAACAAGCAGTTCTTCAATTCAAAAGTATACTGTCGCGACGGATTTTATCTCAATTCGTCTTCAGTTCGAAAAAAATTTAAATATTATACATGTATTTTTCTTCTGCCGAAAAGTTTCTATCAAACTATTAAGACAGTCGTATTTGTAAGTAAAATATTCACATCTCATGAGTAATTCAATTATGAAAAAAGGACAATGTCACGAGAATTCCTACTTGTCGTTTGTTGAATATAAAGAGAAAGGAAGAGAGATAATTAAAAAAGATAGATAGATTAGATAGATAGAAAGAGAGTGTATGATGATGATGATGAACGCTTTATTTATCAAATCGCATAAAATTTGTTCTCAAGGACGATGCTCACTTTTAATGAAAATAGATTCCTAAATGCATAGATGAATAAAAGTAGATAGATAGGTATATAGAGATGATGATGATCATGATGATTTATCAAATCACACAAGATTTGGTCTCAAGGACTATTCTTACATCTAATATGAAATACAATGGTTACTAAGTTCACGCTGCTTCCAATTTATTAAACATTAGTTATTTAACCTAATATTAATGACCTGATTTTTGCGATCAACGTGTTTGATCTATTCGTTTTAAATTGAATTACCTATGTATTTACTTCAAATTGCCCATTGAAATAAATATTCCTATTTGCAGAATAATTAAAAAGTAAATTACTAATATAATACGTGAACAAAAATACTTTTTCAATACAATTCAGTACAAATCATGAATTATAAATTGTCAATCTAGAAATTAAACATCTAGTAGTAGTAATAGTAATATAAAAAACTAAAACAAATGAATACAATAAAAGAAGTTAAATGTAAGGCAGAGAATTTTTACCATGAATCATAACTCGATAAGAGGTGATTTTTAAGACCATTCTTGAAAACTGTTTTTTTTTTTATGTGTATAGGGAATCTCGAAAAAGTTATAGGGAAGAGAGAGAGAAAGAGAAAGAGAAAGAGAGAGAGAGAGAGAGAGAGAGAAAGTGAGAGAGAGAGAGAGTTAGATAGAAAGTGAGATAGATAGCAAGAGCTAGAGAAATATATAGGTAAGAATATAAATAAATATAGTAAATATAACACACTCACTCTCTCTCTCTCTCTCTCTCTCTCTCTATCTATCTATCTCTATCTCTACCTATCTAAATGTCTATCTATTTATGTCTATGTCTATCTCTCTATCTATTTATCCATCTCTCAAAACTTACGAATTACAAGTAATTAATTAATTATTTATTGCTGAGATTATATTGGTTTTGCATTAAATATAATTTCAAAGAAGATGCCATGTTTCGAATTGATGATTTGTCCGAAAAACAATTAATAAAACTTGCTGTATTTTGTATTTCATAATTGTGGATTGTAATTGTATTGTTGAATTATTTGGTCTAGTTTCTATTATTTATTATAAATAGAAAAATATACTTTCCAAAGACAGGTTTTACATGATATAGTAGTTTCCACTTCAGGTCTCTTTCTTTTGACAAGTGTTAATCAAATTTTCTGTCCAGTTGAATTATGTCCGTTATGACCAATAACACCGATTCTACGATGTCACACCGGTGAAACCGTACCCTTGGTGAGGTACCTTCAATGAAAATTCTTCGTGCCGTCTATCCTACGAATTCTAGAGTAGACTTTAAATCCCATAAACGATTCTCACCAAGGGGAGACGTGCTTGATAAAAAAACGCCAGGAAAAACACGGAAGGATAACTACCGATCGGATGGCGGCGAGGCCTGTGGTCGGATGGACTCACGTGCCTTCAAACCGCCTTACAGAAGACTTTTTTGCCCGCACCCTCTTTTTTTTGCCTCGTCGTTGTCGTTTGTTGGTTATTCGCTTCAAGTGGAACCCTTGCTCTCACGCCTCTTTACTTCCTTTATTTTTTTCACCGCCCCTTTCCGACAATGATCATTGCCCTGTTGATACTTGAAACCTGTTGGGTTTTTTTTTCTAGTGTCTTCGAAGGTAACTGGGAAATTAAATTGAGACGTGCAGGCCAGTCATAAAACTGCTTTCGGAATTCATCGTATCAGTTGATTGCTTCGTGTAACCTTAAGGTTATTTGCTATACGGGAAGCGTGGGCAATCAAAGCTGTCGGGAGCTGCAAACATCCACAACTCATTAGATCCCCTATTAAACCATGATCGGGGCAGTCGCGGGCTCATTTTTGAACATAAATCCTGTGGATTTTCTGAATTTATGCAGTTTTTGTCATTTTTTATTTTTGTCTTTGACGATATCTTGACGGTGATGAGGATACTAGGAAGCGGGGTTTGTGCTCCCCAGGCACGTGAGCCTACTGGCTACCTTCCTAGTTCCCTAGTTCAGTGCAATTGACTCAATCCTTCTTCTAAGGAAGGAAGTATTAGGTTTTGACTCTTGCTGCTACAATTTCATTCCCTAGGTTTTTTCTGTATGCTAGGTTAAGTCTCCCTTGATCTGTTATTTCGCATTCGAAGATGATTATGTAATGAAGATGAGCTGTTTCCTCCTCCTCATTACATAATCTGCAGATGGAATCATTGTTATATATGCCCATGTTGTGTAGATGTTTTCTCCAGTGACCAGTTAATTGTTCTATCACTCCTCTGATTCTAGCCCTCTCCAACTGCATCAGTGAGTTTGCCAGTGTTGATGAGGGTCGTTTTCGCATAAGTTTACTTTGTCTAGCGCCCCTAGAGTTTATCCACATCTCCTTTTGTTATATTTGGATCTGTGATGGAAGATCCTGGATTTGTATTTGTTTTCCCAAGTATAGAATTCGTATGTGTGGTCTTACAGATCCTCCATTGGCCCAGTGTGTCTGCTTTCTCATGACCCAAAATTTCTTTTGTGTCCAGGCACACAAGATATTATCAGGTTGTTGAATTTCCCCAGGTTTTGAATATTTTGGATCCATTCACTGCCTAATTTTGATATAATTTTGTTACACTCTAATGCTTTAATAGCTGCTTGGCTGTCCGATATTATGAGGATTCTTTGTCAGTGTACCAGTGTAACCTCTTTTAAGTTTTTACAGGGACAAGCATCACATGTATTTCTGCTTGAAAGAGGGAAGTGTACTTCCTTAATGAGTTTGATTGCTCATAAATGTTAAAAGTCTTGTTGTACTTTATATTGAATTTTCAAACCGAAATTCGATCGTGGCAATAGAACAAATACATTTAAAACATTTCAAAAAATTCGAATATTTCTAGAGAACAAGTTACTTTCCATTAGATTGCATTTTGAGTAGTATGCAGGGTGTAAAATTACGTTGTTTTTTCTTTTATCGCCGCAATGCGCCCACGTTTCGCATAAAACTAAACCATGTTCCAATGTGGATAGATGTTATTAACGTTTTTTTTAAATCTGCTTCCGCTCAGGAGCTGGACGTGTAAGATTGATTAATCATAATATGTTGAAGTCCGGACACCCTCCCGGTGTACGATTATTTACGGCCGACTGCCTTGGGGCTGACAACTTGATGAAAATTTCTTGCAATTGCTTGTTTACCGTTCCGTCGGAAAGGAATGACAATTTCCATTTCTACCCCTCCTCGGTCAGCGATTTATGCAGTTATGACCGTAAGTGTTTTTTTACAGATGAAATATAGAAGCAATCGATGATCTCTCTCTCTCTCTCTCTCTCTCTCTCTCTCTCTCTCTCTCTCTCACCCTCTCTCTTTCTCTGTTTGTGTATCCGGCACTCCATCTCAACATCTATATGTTTTTAACTTCCTCCCATTACTTTTATCTATCTTTATGATGTACCTATCTGGTTGGTATCTATCTATCTGTTACGTTTTCTCTATTTTCAATGTTCATGTCTACATCATTTACTGGTAATATTTATCGGTTATTTCAACTTTTTAAAAGAGCTTTAATAATTGTCTGTTGTCTGACACAATTGTCTCTCTTTTCCAATGTAGGGAGTCAGACCTCTCTCCCTCTCTCTGTCTATCTGTCTGTCTGTCTGTCTGTCTGTCTGTCTGTCTCTCTCTCTCTCTCTCTCTCTCTCTCTCTCTCTCACTCTTACTCTCACTCTCACTCTCACTATCTGTCCTTCTCTTACTCTCGTCCTATCTACCTGTATATCTATTTCTCTATATATCCATCTATATCTACATCTACTTAATTGTCTCTCTCATCTCTCTTTCTCTCTCTCTTTCACACTCTCGCTCTATCTATTTATCCATCTACGTCCTCTCGTTTCTATAAACTATCCTCTCGATACAAACAATCCAGTAAGAGATCCACAATTTTCCCATTCTGCCTTCATATATGGTTTATCCAATATTTACCTTTTTTTTTACTCATTTCTAGATTACTACTGGAGCTTTTAATTCACCAATTTTCAATAATATTTGGTTTGACAACATTTAAATAAAAATAAATAAATAAACATAAATAGACAATTTTGCAGACCTAACTACCAATTTGGCGTCTGGTAAGAAAACTTTTAGAATTGTAAATAGTGTAATCAGCAATTTTTTTAAATGTTATACCTAAGTTTATTTTTTTAAATATACTACTTGGAATTGGACAGTTCTAAAAAATAAATAAATGCAACTTACCCAGGTTGGCGGTCATCCCTTCGAGATCTTTCGGTTTTTTCTTCCTTGGGCGTCCCTTTTGCCTTGGGGCGGGAGTGCCGTTGAAGAAGGAGTTCATTTTGACCGGGTCGGGGTTGGAGGGCGGCAGCGGGGGCGTAGGGTGAGGACCCAGCCGGGGGTGGAATTCAGGCTGGTGGGGGAAATGAGGGTCCGGAGGCAGCTGGGGCGGAGGCGGAGGGTAGGGCGACAGCGGAGGCAGCTCCGAATAATGGAGCCGGCAGAAAACGGCCCCTTCTCTCATTCCGAATGTGTCCCCCTTGGTGAGGAGCGAAGAGCAGACGGCGCACGTGAAACAGTGCACGTGGAAAACCAGCTCCCGTGCGCGCATCACCAGCTCGGATGAGAGGATGGCCGCCTGGCACCGCGCGCACCTTTTCATACCGAACAACCTGCAACAACAAATGTCAATGTAAATCATGAAAGTATTTAGAAAAACATCAGATTCCAATAAGGCAAGAAAGTAATATAAAAGGAAGATATTTGAAAACGAAGAAAATGAGGTATAGCACGTAATAGTACAATTCTAAGTGTGCCGTATGGTTTAAACAACACGATTTTTTTAAATGATTGATTGTTATGTACAAAAAAGAAATGGACTATTGGAAGATACAGTAACACGTACATCGTTTAGTACAGATCACAATGAGGTTAGGGGTATTCGCGATCTTTGTGTTAACCCTGTTAACTCTGTTAGGTCGTGTTAGATCGAGAAAAATGATCGTGTAGACTTGCAAGAATCGGCTAGATAACATTGGTCCAAGACAGGCAGCATAAAGCAGAGATTGTGGAGTTCAGATTTTCATATCTTTAGAATTCAATCACATTCAAAGCCTGTGAGGAAAGATATACCCTGGTTATATAACTTAAGGTTTTATTAGATCGAGAAAAATGATGACGAGGAATCGGGTATTTAACATTGCTCGATCTAACAGCCCAGTGCCAATGTTAGTTATTAAGTCGAAAATGTAGTCACATTGCTATCCGTTAGGGCGTAGGTATCCAACAAGGCAGCCATGAATTTAACAGCTGTTTTTTGTTTACTCGTATTTTTATTCTTAAATATGCATTAATTTAATCAGATCAATACATTTCTTTTGTTAATTTCTGACCTGTCCTTATACTCTTATTCATTATAGATACATCTCTTATCTTATAAAGTTGTAGTCTGTTTGACGTTAGGATACAAGTTAGGTATGTCTGCACGAATTGGAGCATGTCAATTGTTAGTAATTTTCGAGTGCATAGATAGCATTTTGAATGAAAGAGTTGATTAATTTTCCTGTTTTATTAACTTCTGGCATCTTACAATTTAACACAAAAGAAAACCATAACAAACAACGATACTTCAAAGACTGTTGTAGCTTTATTTTTGGTTATACTAATCGCTACGCGCAGCACTATTCGAGTTAACACGAGTTAACATCTTACAACCATCGAGAATACTCCTATTATTGATTTTTTTTATCGATATTACTAATTGTTTATTCAGCAAGCATTCTAATGACTTCTTTGCCCCCTGGAACACTACTCATCTTATGGTAGAACATTTAGCAATGCCATCTATATTTTTATTTAATTTTTTTTTATCAAAAACAAAAAAAAATCAAATCCGACCACTCAATTTTTTCAATTCACCCTTGAGTGTACCAGAAGAAAAAGTGACAGATTTGTAGGCGTCCTACCGAATCCTGCGAGACGGGGAAATGCAAATGCACTAACTGCCGAAACGGCCTATTCCCACGGGATCTGGAGTTTTAATCGTGTCTTGTTAGAGGCCACAATCCGAGTCTGACACACGGCGAATGCATTAAGCCTTCCCAAACTGTGTGAGACGAAAATAAAAAGAAAAGAAGAAGAAAAAGAAAGAGGAACCGTGTTTTATACAACATCTATGTCAATCGTAGAGCTTAAACGAAAAGGTTCAAACATACAAATTAAGAAACCATAATTTGATCTACTCAAATATGATATTAATTTTACCCTTTGGTTATGGAAAAATCTTCAATCTTCTTTGACACTACGCGGAAAAGGAAAAAATATGCAGGCTGTGGTTGTGGATGGAAAAGGATTGTTTAGCCGAAACGATAAAGAGAGTAGTAAAATCATGAAAAGGTTTAATTTTTAGAAAACTGAAAGCCTGTATTGTTCAATTTCAATAAGACTACTTCAAATTCCGTATGAAGAAATCGTATATGCGAAAACTCAAAATTTTAAAAATCCCCGCTTTTTGGATTGTGTCATATTTCTTATATACGCTATGTAATTTAAGAAAGTTTGCTCTAATGATAATGCTGGCCAATGAAAGACAAAGGTATTAATGTTTTTGTGATAGTAACAGACAACGTACTAACCTAACAAACAAGCATAAATATCCGTTACAAAAAACATATTTGTACAACTGATTTATCAATAGTTTATCATAATGAGAAATTAATATAGGCCCTGATGACCATAAAATAGGTCGAAAGTTTGGCAGTAACGACTGAATTTGCTTTTGTCTTCAAGACCTTGATCCAGAGTGTTCGTGAGTAAAAATTGGTCGATACTTCTAACAGTGAATACTAAAATAATACTAAAATGAGAACTTTTTTGCCCATACAGTGAAGAGAAAAACGCAGCATAATAACTTTGAATGCTGTTTAGTTAAGAACAAGCTTATTTTTTCGCATAAAATATAATTCAGTATTTACAATATTCGGATTTTCTTTAACAAATACGATCTGCAACTTTGAACCTGAACATTCATGATTACCAGATTTCTTAGTAAAATCAGAAGAGCCAGAACTATCAGCACCATAGATCATACTTTTCTTCTCATTGTCCATTATCAAATTGCAACGAGAAAATCCAATAACGATAACACTATTGCCTGAAGTCAAAGAGGTGGAATATGAAAACTGATAGATTTCATTACCATTATTGATGGCACTTTATTTCTTGTTGATTGTCAACGAATTTAGAATTAGTTTGTCCATGTGATGTAAAGATATGTTATATGCAGATAAACACTAAATCGTAAATATATCAATGATCAAATTGCGATCCCTTGACACGCAGGAGTATTATATGAAGATGTGTCGGTTTTTATAATAACAGTGAATTATTCCGGGGTTGCTAAAATCCTTTCACTAAACAACTTCAAAACTAACCTAACTAGAAACGTGCCATTTTTACTAATAAATACACACCGATGCTATAAATCTGGACACATAACTATGATATGCCACTTTTTGCGAATGGAGAAAGTTCGTTCCCACCGATTCAAAAGTGACACGTGTTGCTGCCTTGATGTCATTTATCCTGTAGCATCACACAACCAAATAGTAAAAAAGTTAGATATTCTGTTTTTTGGTGTTTTTCGACTTGTACCATTCTTCTTATTGATGAGCGATATGAACAGTTAAACTCATTAGTTAAGTACATCTGATCTTTCAAGCGGAAATATATGCTATTAATGCTTCTACCATAAGAATTCTTAAAAGAAGTTTCAAAAAGAGCTTTAGCATCAAACAGCCAAACTATCCTAAAAGAATTAGCACATAAAATGATCAGATCTAAAATAGTCAGTGAATGCACACCAAAGTCTCCTAAATCAGGAAAAACACGACAAATTGGTAATATCTTGGGTGCCAGGGCACAGCGGATTTCTTAGTAATGAATAGGCAAACTGGGCCAGAGGAAGATATGAAAAACATAGAAGCTATATTTGGGATAACAAGAACAATCAAAGAAACAGTAAACTATATTAAACTATATTAAACTAGATTAAAGAACCCTCAAACCTAGCAAACAAATGGTTAATTAAAAAGGGTAAAATGGCGGGACAAAATAGGGCTATCTGAAAAAACATCTACCTGGGTATAAACAATGACCTCATTTGCAGGTTGTGCAATGTGGAGGAAAAGTCAGTCAATGACATAGTATTTTAGAGAAGGATCGAGTCAGTTAACCCAACTAAGAAACTAGGAAAAGTAGAATGATTCAAAAGGCTGCATTTCTTGGAAAATATAAAAACCCCGCTTGCTAGCATTCTATCATTATCGTTAACATCATCATAAGGTAGGTATCCCACTATTCCTTAAGTTTCAGAACTTATATAGTTTCAAAATCATCAAACGGGGATGTGAATTTTCAGAGGAACTGTGATTTTCTTTTCTTTCAAAATGGCCTTATCTTTGAGTTTTTGAATACAAAATTATACCCCAGATGTTCAGTTCGATATTAGTTTTGCAATAATAGCTCGTAGGATGACATATTGTTCTTAAATATCAGGTCCACCTTCTGCAGAGTTAGATGAAACTCATTTAAAAATCTCAGAATTCTGCCATGATTTGTAAAACTTAAAGCCAAGCAATTTCCATGCCTGGACAAATTTTTTTGCAAAAATTTCAAAATAGTAACAAGTTTAGGGCAGAATCAAAAAATAGTAGTAAAAGTAAAAAGTATTTGATGTATACACTTCTCCACAAACGTGGCATAATTATATAATTAAGACAGACCGTTGGCCAATTTGATATTTGAACATATTTCAATTATCAAAGGCAATCGAAAGTCAACTGAAAAGATATTTTACCACTAAAATAACAGAGTTGAGTTTCAACGTTTGCCCTTTTAAGTGTTTTTTTATATATATATTTTTTTCATTCCGATGAGAGTCGTCGTAAACCCTCCCCTTTTGGAAGCCGAGTCACGCTTCTCACGAACCCAAAATCGTTTCGACACAACACTGCGGGACACCTCGGACCAACGTCTAAATTCAAAACCCAGCCCGGTTCCTATACCATTCGTGACGAAATTAAATTGGATTGTCACCGGACCTATGTGGAATCTGTTGGGTTTGGCAATATCTTGGTTTTGCTCCCAGGATAAAAGTTATTGTACAATAAATAATCAATCCATCTTCGATTGTTTTTTGTAACGACAGTGTATTGTTTTATAATTAACTCAGAACATAAAGATCAATTTTTATTGCTATTTCAAAATAATATAATATAAAGCATAACTCATAAGAAAGTAAATATTATTTTCAACAATAAGATGATTTTAAAAGACTTCATACTTTCATATTCATACTTATTTTGATTGCTAATTTTTAAAAAAATCATAGGAAAGGAATAACAGAATCTTATAATTAAATAAGCGGTGTTGCGGGACGCATACAGCAACAGGCACAGATTGCTGATCTTTGTACCTTCTGCTTGTGATATGTGTTATTTATTGGAACGAATGTATTTATCAGTGTAAATGGAGAGTCTCATGTCCAATTACCCCAAAAATAGTCAGTAATCTAAGGTAGTGCGTTTGTAATTTATTAACGCGAATGGAGGTGCTTATTCCCCAAATATAAAAAAAAAATCACTATCTGGGATAGTGTGAATGAAGCCTGCTA